GGGGGGGGGATGGGGGGTTTCTTCTTCAGGGAACAGCAACGCTCAAGCACAATGGCATAGGCATCGAACCAATAGTCAACCTTATGCTCTTTCCTTCTCCCTTCGAAGCGCCATACAAATATAGAAGATATGGGAGAGGCCAGGCAAAAATAGGACTGATCAAGCAAGACGATGGTAAGAGATGAGCGGCAATGTACGTGATAGTTGGTACGGAAAGCTTAAAAACTTAAAATAGAAGAAGCATAGGGTAGGTAGAATCGTAGATGCCATGCCTAAGCGCCAGAAACTTTCATCTAAAGATGGGAATAATAGGACATGGCAGAGTTTTATGCTGTTGAAGATCTATTTTGGGGCGAGGATATCGTGGTTCTGATGCGGCGCCATCCCACGACGACCAGCGCACGCATTGTCCGGAGCAATCAATCGCCTTGACTTGACCACGGCATTCCTCTACTCTGGGTCTCCGCATCACGACCATGACCATGACCATGACCATGACCATGACCATGAACATGACCACAAGGTGGCCACATACACGACCTTTGCGGCGACTCGCTTTCTGGCGCGTTTGACGGAGCACCAGCAGGTCGCCTCGAAGCAGCCAGCCTTCTTGCTCGCCTATAGATTTCCATCTGCTATCCTCGTCCTATTCTCGTCCTCCCAGCCGTTAGATTACTTACTTGCAGCTGCATCAAAATTCTCTCCCGCGACCCGTTCCCCACGTCTGACACTGGCGCTCCATCTGCCAGATAATGCTGCTTCCAATGGCATGGCTTGGCCATATCCCTCGCTCCTGACGCTGAGGGCCAAACGTCAGAAAACATATCAACTTACTGCAGTGACCCCACCAGGCTCCAAGACGTGGCCCATGGCGCGCATATTCTGCAACGGGATCACACCGATAATCCAATAATCCCCTGGTAACATGGCAGAGACGAGACCCTGCTGACTGGTTTCCGATGCTTGCCTGTCGGATACTCATCCGTACGGTGCTGCAGGACTACGAAATGCGCAGTACAGAGACTCAACTTCCTGTCCTTTTCAGTTACAGATTATGTACTCTATACACGACAGGTTTCGGGCATCGGTTTACCATGGGGACACAAGGCTGGGGCTGGGGATCTGAGATGAGGAGATGTGGTTTGCGCACGAGCTATGCAGATGAAAGAGAAACGGGCTGGGTTGGGAGCATGAAAACGGGTCCCGAGTCAATCTTTAATGGTTCAATGGCTCAGGGAAATCCACGGTATCAAGGACTGTACGGTGGCTGGATGTGAGATCTGAGGGATTCATGTTATGTTCTCCTCGCGGTCCTCGCTACCGATCACGAGGGCGCTGCAGTTGAACAGCATACAAAGGATCCTCCTCTATACGATGCGTAGAGGATGCACTTATCCAGAGGCCAGACGCTGAGGAGCCACTCCCGTGACGAGTTGATGATCACGGAAGGCTGGACCTGCGAACTCGGTATGCGAAGGAGCTTGGAGCAGCATGGAGGGGCACTGGATGGCTGGTGTTTGCCGATAATGCAGAGTGGTGAGGTCTCTCTGCATGATGCACATGCAGTGAGACGGCGGTTGCCCTTCATGCCACGATGGAGACTAAAGATGTTTCGATGTCGATTATTGATTGTTTCCTAAGGCAATAACTTTGCTCTGAGGGTGGAAACGAGGCAACGAATGAGATTTGAGCATTTTCGAAGGGAGATGGGGTGTGGACAGAGGCTTCTGGGGTGTTGGCAGCCAAAAGAGCTACCCCCTTCTAAATCCTCTGCATCCTACGACGGCACCATATCCAATACTGCAAGAGTATTCCGTTCCGTGTATCAAGGTACCTAACGTCGTACATTACATTGACACCTGCGATATTGGCAATGCCGAAGTGCGATACTGTAGGGATCCATATCGCATATCGATACCGGCGTTGGGACAGCGCTGAAAACTGGCGGTGAGTTTGAACCAGCAGCCGCAACAGCAAGGTTTCAGGGGCAGCAGCGCTGTATAGAGGTATGGGGCGAATAATGATGGGAAACGGCCTGTAGCCTTGGACTCATTGACAAGTTGAAGCCTGCTAGAACGCGCACCGCTGCTTTTTCCAAGGCAGTTTTACTCCGTAATTACCTACGGAGTATCCGGGACTTTAGTTACTACAGTGCTACTATACGGAGGACGAGTACCGGTACGGGAAGAGCGGAAGAATCGGGCCTCGAGGACTTTGGGCGCACTGGACGTTGAGTTGTTACCCCTATTTTGAGATCACCCGCGATCGTGTGGAACTATCGACCGGCCGGGGGGGGGGGGAGGTCTTATTATTGATGATGGAACTTGGAACTTGGAAGCTGGTGATAGCTCAGCCATGAGCCGTCAGGCTACGATAGTCTACACACTGCTGCCTCGAGGCTCGGAGCCCGTCCGTTGTTTACGAGGGAGGGTACGTAGTACTGTACTACAGTACCGTATGGAGACTCGGAGGGAGCGCTGGATGCAGCAGCTTGTGCAGCGAGGCTGTGAATAGTACCTCCACAGCGTCCATACTCTGTAGGGAGTAGCGAACAGCTAGATCGAGGCACATGATTGGTCGATAGACAGAAGAAAAGGGGTATGATTGGCGGGAGGGAGGACCCTTGACTCGACACCAACAACTATTTACGACTGTCCAATACAGGAGAAGGCTTGGTGCGGTAGGGCCTTTGGCTCTTTGGCTCTTTGGCCTTGGGCTCTACGGCTACAGTCTGCCTACAGCGTATGTTTACCTACCTACTCCGTATGCTGATGTATGACAGGTACATACCTTATGATACTCATCGGCTCCTCTTGCGCTAGAAAGAAACAAGTTTAGCTTTCCAACGAACTTTTCCTTTCACAGTACCGTTCTCCGTATGGAGTCAATAATGCTCTCACGCCGTTGATAGCCTCTCCGCTGGTCGTTTGATCTGAGACTCTCGGGAGTCGTCTGGGTTCCCGCTTGACCATCTTGATCATCATCTTGCCATTATTATCCTTCAACCCCACAGCTACGTATTCGCTGCCGATGCGATGCGAGGCGATGCGTCTTACTACACGCCACTGTCACACTCTAAAGGCGGAGACATGCCCCGATTCAACAACTGGCTTGACGGCTCCCAACCAATAGTCCCCGGTCCCTCCCAGCCTTGAAAACAGCCTCGCGGATCCACCGCTCCGATCAGAGGCATGTCATTGGCCACTATCGGGAAAATGGCCGTTCTCGAATGACACGACTGTGGCCTCGGCTAGACAGGGCTGTCGCGACAGCAACGTCGCCCGGGCGCAGCAGCCAGGGCCGATGGGCTATGACCCATGGGCTCTGTACTATAGGCTGTAGGCCAATTGTTGGTGGCAGGCGGGCAGGCTGGCAGCCGAGTTGTTGACTGTTGTGGTGTGGAGGGCGTGGCCGCCACAGCCAGTGACACGCATAGCTGGGCTCGGGAGTCGAGGGGGGACCCGCCCTCCCATCGCGGGCGCTGAAGAGTCTGGAAGGCAGTCTGGAAGGAAGGATCCTGATTCCTTACGCACTGTTGGGACGGAGATTGGCCCAAATATTAGCCCAGCGATCCTACTTTCCACACTATCATGACACATCACGATGCAGCGCTGCCAATCATTCTGCTCCATCCTCAGGCCTCTCCCGTAACCCGTCTCCATCCCTTGGGAGATCAACCGATGTGTCCTTTGATGGTACGGGTACAGAATATGGCAGGGGCCGCAAGGGATGGGCGAGCCGAGAGAGAGTGTGACGGCGTCGCGGTCGCAGGAATAATCTACACAGACTTAGTGCTTCTTCGTGTTATCATTGGTGGAGATGGGGGTTTCGATTTCAGCCAATCAGAGTGCCACACAGAGGACAAACAGCAGCTCTCTCGCACTGATCGCTGGGAGCCACCGGCCGGTGCGGCAAATCCTGAAAGAGGATATCCGCGTCACTTGGTCTCATGGTCCCTTCTTGGGTGGCATCGATAGTCTCAGATGATGTCTGACTGAAAAACTGAGAATTCATGCGCCGCGAAGGCGGGTACAGTGCTACTATACACAAGGCGAACTGGACTGTAGCGCCCGCCACGGCAGGAGGCAAACAGTGGGCTGCGTGTCACTCATTCATCTCAGTGGGAATCAGCCTCGGCCATCCCATGCTGAGGAGATGGATGACATGAACAGCAGGATTGACTCTACTCTACAGATGGAGGAGCAGGAGCAGGAGAGGGTGACTGTACTGTCTATTCGCCCCGTGTGCGCCCCAGTAGTACGACGCCCGCCATTACAGCACCGTACATACAGGACAATACTCAGTAACGAGAGTTGACGCTGGCTTGATACTCCCGTACTGCTGCTTCCAGTCCGTACCGTATTATTGCCCAGCCCTACCTTGCAGAAAGCACAGACAAGAGGCGCCAGGCCGTCCGGTAGGAGGAATGGATCCCATGCAGCTATTTTTGCGGTGGCGTGTGACGCACGCTGGGTCCAGGACTCCAGGGACCCCAGGGAAAAGGGCTTTGGCTATTACGCAGCAGCCAACATCATTACGGGCCCAGCCTAAGTCTCCCCCCTATTCACTCGGTGGGGTACATATGGTTGGGCGGCACGCTCATTGGCCCGAGACTCGTGCATTCCTGGAGTCTTGTTTAAATTTGCACCCCGTCCTATCCTAGCAGGCTAGCAGAAAGCCACCTCACGGCTCACGCGCGCCTTTGGGATTTCTAGCGCACATCCAAATATCAATCCGCGGCCGCAAGACGCTGGCAGGGCTGCCCCATCCAACCTTGCCTGGATACGTTGTATATCTGCGCTAGGGGCCATTCCTACCTCAGGACGGAATAGTGGCCGACCGATCGAACAACCCAACCCGCATTTAATTGCCCAGGCTTGCTCAGACAGTACGGAGCACTTCTGTACATGTACCTGTGTACACTCCGTACGCCTCACTGGCCCACCGAGCAGCTACACCCCTGTCCCGTCCTCGAGATCAATATCTATCAGTCCTCATCCACACCCCACATCACCACTCCCTCTCCCACCTCGTCCACGACAACATCACGGCTTTGCGCTCCATTACCACGCCCACTCTCCCTCACCGTTCGCATACTTCGATCCGCTTCACCACTTGTCTCCCGTAGACACTCTTCTTCCGAACGTTCCTTCCCCTCAAACCCTTTCTACGACCCTGCAGTCGGCGACGCTGGGACCAGTTGAATAAGTTACCATTTGGATCGGAGGCCACATTTTTCTCTTTCTATTCTGTTCTGTGAACCAAATAGGACCAAATAGGATCCTTGCTTACCCACGGAGATTCTTAATTTCGGATTTCCGTTTTCTTTTAAGGCCATGCATAATGCTCCGTTGACTCCTCCTGCGACACCACCACCACAACGATATCAGCGTGCCGGACGCCGCCCTCCTCCAACACCGGAATCAAGAATAGGTATCTTCCTAGGAAAGACGTTAGAGTTGCGGGGGATCTTGGGAACTGGAGCATATGGCGTAGTGTATTCCGCGCTCGACCATTCCACCGGCATCTGGTACGCCGTCAAGGCCCTGAGCAAAACAAACGCAAATGGAGAGCCTTTGGATCAGAGACAGCAGGAGTTCCAGTCAAGGGAGATCAGGCTCCACTATGCCGCTTCTGCCCATCCTAACATAGTGTCAATGCTGAAGATTGTCGACGGCGAGGATTGTACCTATGTTGTTTTGGAATACTGCCCGGAAGGAGATCTTTTTTCAAATATCACCGAAAAGAGGAGATACGTGAGTAATGATGCTCTTGCGCAAAGGGCCTTTCTCCAGATCTTGGATGCCGTGGAACACTGCCACCGTTTGGGGATCTACCATAGGGACCTGAAACCCGAAAACATTTTGGTTTCCAACTCAGGCGCGGATGTGCTCCTAGCAGATTTCGGCCTTGCTACCACGGATTACCAGTCAGAGGACCATGGCTGTGGGTCGACCTTCTATATGAGTCCAGGTAGGCTTTAATTTACTCCTCCCCTCTTTTACCCACTAACCATTTCAATTTTTTTATAGAGTGTCTGGATCAATCATCAAGGAAGCCCGCATACCGCTGTGCCCCCAACGACATCTGGTCCCTAGGTGTTATTCTTGTCAACCTGACATGTGGCCGTAACCCATGGAAACAAGCCTCCCTTGAGGACTCCACATACCGGGCTTTCGTTAGGAACCCCAATTTCTTGAAGACCATCCTGCCATTATCGGACGAGCTAAACGACATCCTCCGCAGGATCTTTGAGAGCAATCCCGAGGACCGAATCACCATTTCTGAGCTTAAGCGCCGCATCCAAATGTGCTCCAGATTTTCTGAATTACAACCACCATCACCTCCACCGTCACTCCGTCAATCCTGCCAGTCACCTGCTTCTTCTGTTTCCGATGATGGTTCCCTTCCTGAATCGTGTGCGACGCTCTCGGATCTGGGATCCGACTCCGACCCAGGATATGATTCCATGGAATCTGACGAACCTTCGTCCGATGAGGAAGACTGCTTCGAACTGGACACCCCGGAGTTTCAACAACCGGCTGTTCCATTCTCGCAGCAACAAATTCAGCAATACGTTCTTCCTTCCCAGGATATTTATGGCTCGATGCCCAAAAAAGCCGTGGTTTCTAATCCTTTCATGACCCACAACCCGTGGATTCAGTCTTGGTTCGCTACAGGATATCCTTTTGGACAGCCCCAAGTTGTTCCTCAAGTTTTCTATCCTGCCCCCTATCCCCATGTTCAATATCCATCTCCTTTCCAGCCTTCCAGAGATGTTTACGTCTATTGAGCTATTCCATGCTCAACGTGTGGTTCCAAACAAGTCTGTTTCTTCAGTGCTCTGCTCTGACCATTATGCTCAATGTTCAATGGTACACGAGGACTCTAGAACTTTTCCAATTGGATAATGCCACACGGGAGCCTGAAGGAGACCACCGGATGTTACCACTGAGCTCCAGGCTCTAGTGTTAAGGGGCGCACGGACCAAGCCGAATCTACCGAGCCATGGAGTACAAACCAAACCGCGGGAAACCAAAAGTTCAAAAGCGAGAAACGCGTTGCATTCTTCTTTCAAAAACAATTTGATGTTGAAAAAACCTGTACAAGTTTCATTATATCTTTATTAATCTTTACCAAGCAAGGCGTTTTGGGGATATGGTAACTACGAAAGCGAAAATATGGCCGGAATTTTCTTTTGTCTGGGATAAAGATCTGATTTATATTTAATGTTTTTTGCTTTTCTTGCGCGGAGTTTCTGGTCTTGGAGGCAAGCAAATGTTGTAACGCGGGAGCATATTGCAGCATAAGATGACATGCTAGCATTGGAGTCTTTTCTGGGGGTTAGAAGCGTACGATACCCTCCCCTAGATGGGTTGGGTTTGGGTGGAAGACCTGTGGGGGGAGTGTTCAGAACACGCCAGGTCAGTTGTTTGTTACGCATCCCGTCCGCTTCAAAGTGGCGGGAGAAACAATATACGTTTGCTACCTCGAGGAGGAGCAGAGGATTGGCAGATGTATTAGATATCTACTTCTTCATGAGATACGACGAATGACCAAGAGATTGGAAGGACACGAAATATAAACCACGAGATTCACATCTACTTACTTGCTCTTTTACCTGTTGGGTGCTTGCACACAACTACTATTATCTACCTCCCTCATCTCCATCTATTCCAAACGCCCGCCTACCAACTCTCAAGTATCACAACCCACAAGCCCTGACTCGCTCGCAAGCAGACAATAGGTCAGCCTATCCATCCATCCACCGACCAGCCCCAGCCCCCAAGTTCCAACCAACCATACACACCCCTCCAAATTCCAAGCCTAGCCTACTATACGCGAGACACACTGTACACCCTACCACGCCCCTATCACAATACTCCTAATCTCCGAATACTGCTCTCCACCTTCTCGAGGCGGTGAGCGCTTCTCTCCAATTACAGGACTCGGAATGGGTATGCGGAGATCCCTGCTTGGGGTCGCGTAAGTGTTTTTGGAGAGGGGGGTGAGCATGATTCTCGGGTATGTACAGGATAGACTATAGTACATGTTTAGATGTAAGGTATGTCGTGGAATGAGCTACTGAGTATGGAGCTAGCTAGGTAGAGTAGAGTAGAGGAGGAGAGAGGAGAGTAGTAGAAAGCGATAGCAAGAGCAAGGAAAGGCCATCACCTGAGCGCAATATGATCAGCGACGAGGGCCACGTTCCGGTGCAGATGCCGAGGAGGGGGGCGTGTATGAGTGGTTGATGGATGGGAGAGGTGGGTAAGCATTGAGAGTTGTGTAACGGTGAGATGAGGAAAGGAAGGTGGAATCATGATTCTTGTTTTTTTTCCCTTTCTTTTGCTTGCGCCGCGAAGGTGTGGAGAGAGGGAGGGCTGGAACAGATCTTCATCGACATCGACATCCACAACACATCTACAGGGGAAAAGACTGTGCAGGTTGACTGGTTCTCAGAGCAAGAGTCCAGAAGAGAAGGTGGATGGTTGGCTCTTTTTTTCTCTCACTTAACCAACCGTATGCTTTTGGTGGAAAGTGGAACAGGAAATCGTGGACCAGTGAGCAGCAGCAGCAGCAGCAGCAGCAGCAGCAGCAACGTGCTCGCTGTCGCTGACCGAGTTGCGGACAGGCTTTCTGGAGCTCGACTAGAGTAGCCTTTCCTCGCCCCCCTGAATCATGAACGTACTCGGCGATGGCCGAATGACCTTCCTTCATTGACGTCCATGATATATATGGTTAAGCGTGTAAGTCGGGCTGAGAAAAGGCACCGCTAACTTGAAGTGGAGGTGATTGTCGAAATAAACTTTATGAGAGCGTGGCTATCGCGGCCGCCGGTCCCAAGGATTTATCCTCCGGCGCTGGTGGGTTGGGACTTGGGGATCTTTGGGCTAGGGACGAGATAAGATAGGTAGAACGAACAGAGGGGAAAGCCCAGAGCTAACCTAGCGCTCTGAGGGGGTTATTGACGATATCGATAATTGTCATTGATGATTACATCTCATCCGCTTAAGGTAAATCGGCCGTGTTCCTTTGAATCCCTTGCGTCGAGATGGGGCGCCGGCGTTGGAATATTCTTCGGTCTTCTATATGTTTGTAGGGTGTGTGGTAGGGTACATAGTGTGCAATGTCTGGGAGTGGTAAGAAGGGTTGGGGAATGAGGGATTGGTCCAGTAACAGGTACCTTTAGTGAAGGCGGAGAAGTATGGAATGATGGATTCCCACGTCGTTCATTGGAAGCCAGATAATTGGCAAAGTGATCTAATAAAATACAATTTCCATTAAACTAGGAAGCTAGACTGGTAGCTTTTCAATGTTCGTAATCCGTAAGTCGTCTATGATACATGGAAGAGGAGCTTATAGTACAAATACATACGACAGGAAGGAATTCCTCCTGGTCTGAAACGAGTCGAGATACGCCTACCCATGCTGCTTTTGATGCTTCAAATGCCACACTTTTAAAGACCCAATGCCTCTCTTGTCCCAACCTTTAGCTCCTCACCGCCTTCGTCAATTTTAACGACTGCCGTGTCGCCAGTTTTGATCTCCCCCCTGATGAGCTTGTCTGCCAATATATTGCCGATCTTCTTCGAAATGAGCCTGTTCAGAGGCCGCGCTCCAAATCTTGGATCGTATCCTCGTTCGGCTAGCCATTCTCTCACTTGGTCATCGACCTGAAGAATGATCCTTCGATCATCCAGCCGCTTTTGGAGCTCCTTTAGACGGATATCCACGATATCTCGCAAAGCCTCTGTTGAGAGACGCTTGAAGATGATGAATTCATCGATTCTGTTCAAGAATTCCGGCGCATCTGGGAACCATTAGCAACTATCACTTGCAAAAACAAGAAGCAACAACTTACAATTTTTATGGACAACGTCCATAACCGCCTCTCGCACTTGAGGAGAAATTTCTCCGTTGGACTCTTCGTGGTAGGGATGGAATGGATCATTTCCAACAAGGATATCCGCTCCCAGATTCGAGGTGAAGACTATCAGAGTATTCCGGAAGTCGATCTTATGGCCTTGGCTGTCGGTCAAAAATCCTTCGTCCAGCACCTGGAGCAGTAATGCAGAAATGTCTCGATGAGCTTTCTCAAACTCGTCGAACAACAAAACTGCGTACGGCTTTCGCCTCACGGCTTCAGTGAGCTGTCCGGCATCGTCGTACCCGACATAACCTGCAGGACTACAAGCATGTCAGTAACTAAACGGAATCAACAACTTAGACATATACATACCTTCCAATCAAGCGTGATATGGTATGCTTCTCTTGAAACTCGCTCATATCAAATCGAACGACAGCTGTCTCGGTAGAAAACAGGAAGCCTGCCATCTTTTTACAGAGTTCAGTTTTCCCAACACCTGTCGGTCCCAAAAAGAAGAAGCTCGCAAGAGGTCTGTTTTCGCCACTCAGGCCGGCACGTTGCATGCGAACTGCATTTGCAACAGCATTCAGTGCCTCATCCTGGCCGCGGACTGATTGGCGAAGGGTGTCCTCCATTTTTATTAACCTTTCGGTTTGCCCCGAGGTAAGTTTAGTGGTTGGAACTACAGCTGTCAGCTTGCTCATCTCACAAATGGTCAAAAGTACTGTATAGATATAACTTACTTCCAGTTACTCGGGATACAACTGCTGCAATGTCGTCTGCCGTTACTGCTTCGTGCAGGAGGGTATTGTCTCCAGTCGGTTCGATAACAGTTTCGCCTTCCTTCGGCAACTTGGCTTCTAGCGATGGGATGATTGAGTACCTCAGCTCCCCAGCACGACCGAAGTTGTTCTCCCGTTGTGCTTGATCAAGTTCGATGCGAGCCTTTTCGAGATCCTCTTTTGTCTTTTTGATCGCTTCGATTTCCGCCCTTTCCTTCTCCCACTTTTCAGTCAATTTGGCAGACTCCTCTTGGCACTCCTTGAGATCCGCTTGGAGTTTCTCGCGACGTTCTCTGCTGGCGATATCGGTCTCCTTCCTCAAACTTTCGAGTTCAATTTGAAGGGTCATGATTCGCTGATCCAATTTCATTATATCATCTGGTTTGCTTTCTTGTTGTAGCCTTAATGAGGATGCTGCTTCATCCATCAGGTCAATCGCCTGTCAAATATCAGCGTCGCGGTCTTTAATGAACGGTATAGATAGACAATAGAAATGCTGCAGAAATTACCTACCTTGTCTGGAAGAAATCGGTCTGTGATATATCGGTTCGAGTACGTCGCAGCAGCAACCAGTGCTCCCTAGTTCATAATTCGTGTTAATTTCACATTTCATCCAGTTTAGAGGGAGATCAAGGCTAAGTGTCAGGGTTACTTACGTCCGTGATTCTTACTCCATGGTGTACTTCATATTTCTCCTTGATACCCCGAAGTATGCTGATGGTGTCTTGAATTGTTGGCTCATTAACTTGGATAGGCTGAAATCTCCTTGCCAATGCCACGTCCTTTTCGATTGCGCGGTATTCATTCAGTGTGGTGGCCCTAAAAAAGCTCGGAGTTAGTATTTCGTGATCAGGAGACCTTGGGTGAGAAAAGTAATTCTAAGAATATACATACCCACAGCATTGAAGTTCGCCCCGTGAAAGAGCTGGCTTCAAGAGATTGCTCGCGTCGATGCTTCCTTCGGCCTTGCCTAGTCCAAGCAGTGTGTGCAGCTCGTCCACGAACAGGATTACACCACCCTGAGCTTCTTGAACCTCTTTTAGAACACTCTTTAATCTCTCCTCGAAATCTCCACGGAACTTTGCGCCGGCAATGAGCTGCCCAAGATCTAGAGAAATCACCCTCTTGTCCTTGACACTTTCTGGAACATCGCCCCTGACTATTCGTTGTGCGAGTCCTTCTAGTATCGCAGTCTTTCCAGTTCCTGCACTTCCAATAAGGACAGGGTTGTTTTTGGTACGGCGGGACAGCACTTGAATAGTTCGATTGATCTCTCCATCTCTCCCAATGACAGGATCAAGCTTTCCGGCCTTCGCTTTTGCGGTCAAATCGACTCCGTATTGCTCCAGCGCTGGCCTCTGATCACCTCCACCCATATCCATGCGGTGCGTACCACCGGGAGGGTGTGGGCGTCCATTGGCATATGTGCGAAATGTAGTCGTGGGAAGTAGTTTGAGTGATGGGAAATCGAGGTTTCTTCGAGCCGCGTTAACCAGTGGCGCTCCAGCTCTTGGTCGAAGAGCATTGTTGGCTATGGCAGCAATGCGCCGGCTTGGAATCCTGGCTTGTCTTAATAACATTTTGAATTATGTTGTTGCAGTCATGAAGATCGTAAAGAAAAGAACAAAAGGAGAAAAAACATCTTCAATTTTCTGATATGAACATCAGTATAAATGCTAGGATGAATGATAGCATCATCGAAAGAACCAGTACCATCTCGAAAGATATGTTAATGCCTTAAATTTAAGCCTGGTATTGTAGGCTGCAAATTGCACTAAGCCGTACTCCGTAAGCGCGACAAGGGTTTTAAAGTTTTACGCGAATCTGCCAATCAAGTCAGCACACTTTTCTTCCAAACTCCAAAATCCTACAAACCCCTCTCCCCCCTAACCATCACCATATAATCCACACTTTTCTCTTCTCTTTTCTCCCTTCTTCTTCCTTCTCAATAAGAGCCAGACTGCACACAACATCAGTCACAATGGGATTCACAGACTTTGCCTCGGAAACTGGCCTCCACTGTAAGATAGATCCCTCTTCAGCTCGAGCAGGTCGCAAATTTTGCTGGGGCGTGCAAATTGACTTGACCCAGTACTGAACAGCTGGTTGTCCACCCGCTCATACATCGTTGGGTACGTTACTTGCTCTTATGACAGTTCCCCCTGTTACTATCCCCTTACAAGATGATCGAAGTTGCTGTGTGCCTCGCGGCCTCCGGCTTTGACCTCGAACAATATTTCATGATGAGCAACATTGGTCCGTGTTACTGAGCGGCCTCAAGAACCGTCAAATGACGATCACCAATGCATTCAAGTGCACCTCTGAATTTTCCCCCCTCGCTCTACAAGTCTAGCTTGAAAAATTTGCTTGACAGGGCTAATAAAAAATAGATACGCTCCTTCCCAAGCCGATGTTGTCACGTTCAAGGCTATCACCTCAGCACCAGATGTCGCAAATTACCCCCACGCAGCTAGATGGTACAAGCACATTGCCTCGTACTCCGGGGAGTTTGCCACCCTCCCAGGTGATGCCTCAAGAGCGTACACTACATATGGCCCTGGAACCACAACCGCCACCTTGAACCCAGCAAAGGCCCCAGCTGCGGAGGAAGAGGATGACGAGGTCGACCTGTTCGGTAGTGACGACGAGGAGGAGGACGCTGAGGCTGAACGCATCAGAAATGAGCGTTTGGCGGAATACAAGAAGAAGAAGGAAGGCAAGGCCAAGGTGGCTGCGAAGTCTGTTGTCACCATGGACGTCAAGCCTTGGGGTATGATTCATCATGGCTATGAGAACTGAGATATATGCTGACATCGTTGCAGATGATGAGACAGATATGAAGGGCTTGGAGGAATCCGTCCGTAGTATCGAGAAGGACGGTCTCGTTTGGGGAGCTTCCAAACTTGTACCGGTCGGATTCGGTATTAAGAAGCTGCAGATCAACCTGGTCATCGAGGATGACAAGATTGGTCTTGATGACTTGCAAGAGGAGATTGCTGGTTTCGAGGACTATGTTCAGTCAACTGATATTGTGAGTTATTCGTGTCATACTGTTTATATTCGGACTAATTCTTTGTCTAGGCTGCCATGCAAAAGCTATAGAGCGTCTTTGGGTTCCTGGGATATTTGCATTCTTGATTTGACATCAGGGTTTCTGCCGGTTCTATTGCTGGCTGTTAGTAAATCGGCTTCACGACATGATGATAATCAAAGGCTAGCGATAGAAGTGAATACGAAAAGTAAAACTTCACATTGATGTGTCCCTGTATCCATGTGTCTCTGTGACCTATATCCCTTGAAATTTGTGCCTCCCTTGCCCTGTTCTGATTGAAGCTTGGATCGCGCTTAATTGAGCCGCACATAGTAAGACAAGGTAAGGTAGGCACTAAGCAGCCTCGCAGCTTGAACATCACCCAAGAACTCACTCGACATTCAACACATCGATTTTCGAGAACATGACGTGGTTATCGAACTCAATAACAGGGCTTGGCCTACTGTTTCTGGCACATGCGTGGGTGATCAATGAGTCAAATGCAAAAAAGAACAATTACTGATAGGATTCCGCGACGACAGCTGTTACTCTGCACACGAGCATTCTGCTCTCCATTCCACAAGCACGGCCTCTATATCCTCAATTGTATCTCACGGCACATCTGCTCCTACTGTTGCATCTCTCCCTCTCGACATATCCCTCGAAACCATAGTAGCCGTCTTTACCGTCTGCTTGGGCCTCGTCCTGGGCACACCCGAATTACGCCCCATACAATGGCGCGTCTGGGCAGGCAAGATTGAGCGGGAAGGGGAGAAAGGCTTCATGAATGGCGACGGACAAACGGATAAGGACTACGTCGGGAACCCGTTCAAAGTGTTGGAGAGCAGGCCCGGTTTCATAGATATCAGGAAACAAAGAAAGGAATTTGCGGAGTGGGTGAGGGAAGGCGGAGGCACTTCTGCGGCCCCAAAAAGCTAGAAATTGGGCACGGTGGATATGGGGCTCGGATATGGTGTAGATGCCAGCCATTCTCTGGTTTGACTTGGCTATGAAATCCTTAAGCACGTCGGAGTCAAGGTGGATCATAATAAAAGGGCAATATCGTAATGAGAGAGGTACGATTCAGACAATAATGTTCCCCTGCCCCTATTTCAAGTCCATCTTCGAAACTTGGCCCAGTATACACGTCAAGGACGTAATTATTGGACTGGATGATTTTCGATAGTTGAAGTGTGGACTCCCTATACGTCGGCCTCGCTTGATCAAGGGTCACTCCTCCTTTCCTACCATCACTCAGTCTACCTCACCCCGAAAGAATTATACACCGCCCAACATGGCATACAAGCGTCGCCGTCTGGGATCGAGAACTTCGTCTCGACACCCGCCGTCACACCCGTCGTCTTCTGAACCCCAAAACCTCTCTCGGATGAGCTCTGCCCCTCGAGCCATTCCACCGTCTTCCCCAAGCTTACCAGCTCTTCCTCAACAGGGGAGACTATCCCTCGGGCCTACGAGCTCACATGTCTCCATTGGCCTGTCAACCGGTGATGAGGACGCTGTTTCTGCGCATGACATAGCAGAGACAGATGCTGATATACAGATACGTGAAGACTCCGATGCTATGAACGAGGTCATTATGGCAATTGACATGAAAGAACGTGGCACAATTGGATGTGCCTATTACATTGCTAGACAAGAAACTCTTTGCCTGATGGAAGATATCAAGATGGGCGGGCTTGAAATTATCGATACATTAAAGCTCCACGCCCAGCCTACTGTTATTTTAATCAGCACACGCTCGGAAGAGGGGTTAGAGGAGCATCTTAATAAGGAAGCTCGAGGAATAGCCCGAGGGGATGGAGCAAGTGAGTTTACCCTGAAGTCAAATACAGAATTGCTGACAGTGCACGCGAGACGACATCTTTGGCTCATATGTTCTTGATTCTCGACCTTCCTCCGATTTCAACTATTTAGCAGCTAAAAACAGGCTCATTAACCTTGAACTAAGCGCAGACGAGGCTCCCAAAATTATATTCACAGCGCCTGGAGAGGAATTGACTGGAGATGCTGCGTATGGCCAGTCCTCTCAAGGCGGTACTGGACGCCAAGGGCGATTGATGAGGCTAGCAGGCTGGATAGACCTTGAAAGCAAGCTTACGGCAAGCTTTCGACCTTTCTTGCAGCCGTCAAGCTAATAATTTAAGCAGGTTGGTTGTGCTGGAGCTATATTGGGCTACCTCACCCGACGCAGGACTACTGACTACCTTCCAAACGACCGAGCTGTTTTCATCGATTTCCGGATCAAGTCTATCGAGATGTTTACTCTCTCAGACTTGATGTTTGTTAATTCGGATACACTGGCATCACTTCAGATTATCCAGTCAGAAAATCACCCAAACTCACATATGCAGGGCCCAAACAGATCCACCTCAGGGGCCAAAGAAAGCTTGTCTGTCTTCGGGTTATTCTACCATTTAGCGAGCACCCCGCAAGGGAAACAGAAGCTCCGACAGATATTCTTGAGACCTAGCATGAACATATCCATCATTGGAGAGCGACTAACTACCATTGGCGTCCTCTTGCAGTCCGAGAATTCGCCATTGCTGGAGAAGATCTGCAAGAGCCTGAAGAAGATAAAGGACATCCGGTCTGTGGTCGTTCATCTGCAGAAGGGAGTCAGCAATGTTTCCAGCAAGTGCTTTACAATTAATAGGGGGATCTTGGCCAGCATACTGAATTTTACCTTTCACACGTTGAAGGTTATTGAAGCAGTGCGTGAGTTGAATGATGGTCAGACCTTGGCCGTTGCAACCAAAGTAAGGCTCCCATCGTATCTGAAAGCAAGTTCTCACATGATCCACAGCTTATTGCTGAGATACAACCTCATTCGCTACATCAGATTGGGCAGATGATTACGCGGACTGTTGATTTCCAAAGATCTGCAGAACAGCATCGAATAGCAGTCCTACAGGGAGTAGACGTGGAACTCGACACTATCAAGAGAACATATGATGGAATGGATAGCCTTCTTACAGAGGTTGCTACTCAACTTTCAAACGATGTACCGGAATGGGCGTCTCAGTATATTGGAAGCTGCATATTCTTCCCACAACTTGGATTCCTCACCGTTGTCCCCCTTGACCCAGAAACAGGCAAAGGCAGGTATGAGGGCGAAGGAATACAGAATGATATATGGGAGAGAATGTTTGTCAGTAATGACATGGGGTACTACAAAAACCGGCGCATGAAAGAGATGGATGAATACTTTGGAGACATGTATGGCATGATTTGCGGTGAGTCTAAGACAGAAGCTCATAACCGATCAAGCACTGACAATGATTGCCTCAAGATAGGGAGATCGAGATTATCCACGGTCTAACCGTGAAAATTCTGGAGCATGAAGAACTCCTAATCGCTGCTTCAGACCTTTGCGGAGAGCTCGATAGCCTCGTTGCATTAGCTTTGGGAGCCAGCAAATACCGATTCGTCTCACCACATATGACGACGGCAAACGTAATTCGTATTGAAGGTGGTCGCCATCCATTGCAAGAACTTACTGTCCCATCCTATATTGAAAATGACTGCTGGCTTTCGGGGGGTATTGGAGAAGGAGGCGAAGACGAGCCTATGAGCCCGTCTCCATGTTCTGCATCCGTCCAAGAAAGCGTTGAATGTCCCAGTATGCTCATCATGACCGGTCCAAATTACTCAGGTAAAAGTGTTTACCTCAAACAAAACGCGTTGATTGTGTACATGGCACACATTGGTAGTTTTGTTCCCGCTGAGAAGGCCACAATTGGGTTGACGGACAAGATTCTGACAAGAATTGTGACTCGAGAAAGTGTTTCAAAGAGTCAGAGTGCTTTCATGATTGACCTTCAGCAAGTGGCTTTGTCAATGACCTTCGCCACTCGTCGCAGTCTCATAATCATAGATGAGTTTGGAAAGGGAACCAACACTGTTGATGGAGCTGGGTTAGCTTGCGGCGTCTTTGAATACTTTCTCAACCTCGGTGTCCATCGGCCTAAAGTCCTAGGAGCCACACACTTCCACGAGATCTTTGAAAATGGATTCTTACAGGAAAGACCCGAGTTATCATTTGGTCATATGGAAGTCCGTGTCGACTTAAATGCGGAGGTCGTAGAGGATCAGATCACGTATTTGTATAACTTCGTACCAGGTCGAAGCACTTCCAGTTTTGGTACTTGCTGCGCCAGCATGAACGGTATTGATCCGGCTATCGTGGAAAGGGCAGATGAGTTGATTGTCTTAGCAGCACGAGGAGAGGATCTCATAGCAGCGTGTGCAAAGGTTTCAGATGAGGAAATCAAAGAGTTGGAGGACGCAGAGCAGGTCGGAAGACAGTTCCTCGAGCAGGATTTCCTACGTCTAGATGAGAATCTCCATGACACCGGGATTAATGTCCGAAGCATTCTTCAAGAGATTATTACCTTGGGTTCGAGTTAAGTTATTGATTAATCTGTCTTGTCGCATTTGCCTCACGGAATAAATTCTGCAGACGCTTCATCCTTTGCTTTGGGCTGATTTGGCTCATCTTAAGAACATAATATTGAAGAGGATACTTTTTGACAAGATGATCCGATCCTGGTCCAGTGCATATCGTCTTTGGGCTTCATGTTGGTTTGGGTGGTGTGTTTCATTTTGCCGTTTGTGATGAAACGATCACAACCACGACTCTTCCATACATTGGACCACGCCCTTAGATTCTACAGAGTACGCAAGATCGTCGACGAATGCATTATCCAAAATCTGCTCTGATGTTTCAATTGACAAGGGCTACATCCAGCATACGTTTAACAAGCAAGCCGCAATAAGCACGTTAAGTAGCACGTGGTTTCTGCTTTTTTGATACTTGCCAAGTTTCGGATTCGATGATACAAGCTTTGTGTTTGAAGTCTCTAGAAGTGTTTCACCAAATTAATAAGCTTGCCGACCGTTTTTATCAGCTTGTTTCATTCCTTATTGGCTTATTCAAGGAAGAGAACCTGACAGTGCCTTGCTACAAGCGTTGAAATTCCTCGATCGCAGTTTTCAGCTGGCTACAGTCCGTGAGAGCTCACATCCTCAAGCAGTACGGCATTGCAAGGCTCGGTGCGTACTCACTTGTTTTGCGTTTCTCTATGTCATGATCTCCAGCAGTACATATTCTACTGATAATTGGCCGAAAGTAATTATTTTGGGATTCTCGCCTCGACTCATTGATGGGGTTGGTGTCAGTCATGGCATAAATCTTCTCGCCAAAGTCCTTTTCTTTGCGATGTGTGCAACAGATCACTTACGTGGTCCACCCAAGGATGGATTTCATACTGTCATGACGATCAGTCTCAAAACAAAGTACAGTAGAGTACTGTTCTGTCTAGGTCTGAGATTCCACTAGGGCAACGCGGCCTGGAGTCTCTGACTTGTCACCATACTTTCATACTCACCTGTAGTCTCAAGGTATCGGACTTGTCGAGTTCAGAGATAGCCTGCTAGATTATAAGTACGAGCTTGAGGGACCTTTGACCACTCATTATTCCAAGCATCCTTTCATCTTTACAATAGTCTCCATAATAGCCATCAAACCAATTCTTGACGTGTTAAAACAGCCACATACAACAATAACAGTACATCTACCATCATGCAATTCTCAAGCATCTGTCTCGTGGCTCTGACCGCTGTAGCTGTGTCGGCACAAGATACTGTGAGTCCAAAGAGGTCTACATGATATCCGAAGTTGAACTAACAGTCTATTAGACCTTTACCAAAAAGAATGCAAAGACTGCAACCGACTCTGCCGGCCAGGTCGCAGGCACTGGCGGTGCACGAATCAACTCGGCCAATTCTACCAAACCAACAGGAGCTGGTGGTAAACATGGATCATCCACGGCTTCAACCACGGGCAAGAAGATGAACTCCTCAACGCCTTCAAGCACATCATCATCAGGAACAGCCAAGTCCACGACCAACGCTGCTGCGGGATCACTCCTATCAAATGGTGGAGGACTGGTCACTGTTGCAGGTCTTGGTATCATGTTTGCTGTGTTTATGTAAGATATTTTCTTCGGAATCGGAGGGGAGTGGGGAAAGGCGTATAGGCTGGAATGTGGGTGCATGAAATGACAACCTACTACATTATGCGGAGCTGGTCTCTGGCATACGAACGTAACGCTCATCGAAGGGATATTCAGAAGGCGTTACAAATATAAGAAGGGATCGTTTGCAGTTCGCAATCCGATGAAGTTGTGATTCGAAAATGTAGAGCTGAAACATTACCAAAACACATTGTTCCATTGTTGCATTCAGACGGCCTCGATCTAGTCAAATCCATAAAGAATCTTTCCGTCCAGAAGTCTTGATACCTAACTAAGACTGACGACATGGACACATGATAGAGAAGAGGTAGAAGATTGACTTCTTGACACCGCACTTGATGGCCTCTTTAGCCTTTTGCAACCCCTCCAACCCCCCCCCGCCCCCCCC